TTGTCCGCCTGCAGTCCACTTCCAACAGTTTTGCAAGCAACAAAAAACCGCATGATGCTTGTTTTGAGTGTTTCGACTGCTGATGTCAAGCACCCTTGAAACTCCCATCTGGCAACACAGTGCTTGCAAAGTGGCCTTTTTTGGATTGTGAGTACTACTCCATACTCGGTCACGAGCACAGCGTTTCTGAATCAGGACGCTTCGCCTGCATGGAAGAATCATTCATGAAAGACGAGAGACCCAATGAGATGAGCAACACAAAACCTCACGGTCCTGAACAGGAGAGCCGATGCTCAATTCATTGCCCCTCTCTCCACCGATTTGGTCCACATGACCACACGAGCCACACACACCAGGTTGCAGCTTTTTGGGTTTTTTGTTTGTAAACAGCCTACCAACTCATCAGACATCTGAATGCCTCCCAGGGACTTGGCGTGGTGCAAAAGGGATGTCAACTTCATCCTGGAGTCCGTCAGCGATGCCTTGTTTGCTCTAGGAGGAGCCCACAGCCCAATGGATGCGTGATCACAACCGTGGGTGAACACCTGTGGCATGGAAAAAGCTGCAGACCGCCATTTCTTGCATTGTCAACGGCTGAAGCCGAGTTGATCGAAGTCGTTTGAAGCAGTGGTCGTCTGGTGCCTGGTGGATGAAATGGTGAGAGATGTTCCAAAGTTCCTCAAGTGTGAGAACACTGCGGCCGTGATGGCAAGCTGCGCAACGGGGGCTTGGCGCACTAGACACTTGAAGCAGCGAGCTGCTCGCCAATGGGAGCTGAAGTATCAACCAGGACGAGAACTGATTGCCGACATTGGGACCAAGGCTTTACCAGTCGCACGAGTTGATGAAGTCCATGAGGAAGACAAGGGCACAGTCGCTCCTTGCGCTGTGAGGTTGGTGGCGAAGTACCACTTGGAGAAGGCCATGGTTCTGCTCTGCAAGAAGTCCATGCAGCAATGGCCGAGAATGCCACCAAGGAGGCCGTCGAGAATGCGGAAGGTGACCAGGTGTTGTACTACCTCCTCAGCGTCATGATGATGTTGCTGGGAATGGTGCTCATGAAGATCCTTCCAACGTGTCGAAGCCGATGGAACCCGGGAAATGATGAAGACTCCATTAGAGTGAGGTCAATGAGATCAATTTCGAGTCCCATGGCACTGGATGGAGAGACCACCTGGTCCTTGTCGAGACCGAGGGCACTGGCAGAGCATCCAACTTCGACCTTCCGAATAGAGCTGATGAACATTATGTGATCTCGTCCACGGGACGGAGAAGGCGATTCAGGTCAGAACCAACTTGGGAGGCATGGTTCGCAGAGAGCAGTCAGTGCTTCCATCGACGTGAAGACTGCCGAGGTTTGCGCAATGCCAACCACAAGCAAGCCAAGCCAATCTGTGGAGCATGTCAACAAGCGACTCAACGACAGAGGCCACATGGCCAAACGACGTACTTGTATGAGGACCAGCTGGGAAACCTGCATATAGATCCACGATGTGGCGGGGTGACAGGAACTATGCTGGAAATCAGACAGTGCAAAGTCTGTGGAGTGTAGAGCGGCTTGGGCCAAAAAGGTTCAGTTTTCGAGAGCTGCTCATAGAGAGCAGGGAGGAGTGCTGGTCCGCAAAGGATGACACGCACAAAAACGAAGTGTACCAAAAGGGTCATGAACAAACCAAACACCAAACGGTGTGAAGCCGCTTTTGCACAAGGCCCCAAAAAGGTGCGAGGGCCTAGAACCTACACATGTTTTTTGACATGCGTGTATGTACTGTACAGATTTTTCCGACCGCTTTAAACACTGTTTCAATTTTTGAGGCTGTTTAGAATTTTTGTGCCCAAACCAGCTAAGTACATGCCGCACAACCACGCAGACATGCAACGCGCACGTTTTTCGAAGCCCATGTGGATCTGTTGATCTCTCGGCTGCAAGCGCCTGACAGTTGGGACTTCAAAAATGTTCATACGACTTAATCGATCCCACCGAGCAACTAGAGCAACTAGGGATCGTGGTGAAGTGATCATCGTCAAACCCGTGCTGTTTGGAGGATGCTAGCTGTTGAGGTGTGCAATTTATCACAAGGTGTGGAACCACCAACTGATTTGATAGTTGCCTGGTGGCGGGGTCCAAGTTCATGGTCAGGTCAGATCCAAAACCTCACGTTTTTTCCTCCGCGTAACAATATGAGATGAACAATCAACACATTCACAAGTCGTCGATTGTGGCGAGGCGCGCCTACTGCTTCTAAACACACCAAACCACCAACCGCGATCATGGCTGAAATTGAGTTTCTTGGATGCAAGGGCGATTTTGGGGGTCGACTCGTTCTTTATGGCAACTGCAAAAAACCTCGCATAGAACTCGCAAGCTACGACAAGGGTTGTGTTGATGTTGGCAATCAATAGCCCTTTGAATAATGACATGTTTTTCCCCAGAGCACACAATGCTGAATGTTTGGACTCCTTCACACCATCGCCCAAGTGTTTGGAAGCACCTCGTGATGCAAGTCTTGAGGCGAGGGGATACACAGCAAATGGTGAATTTTGTCGGGATGGCTGCTGGAAGTGCGTCCGCCATGATTGGTGCAGGCCATGAAAAGTCGTCGCACGGGAAGCCACACATCATCGTTTGAAGATGTGCAGGGCTTGTAAACAAAGGTTGTTCCAGTGGGAGGAGACCACGAGAGAGTTTGATCCTATGGAAGATTGACACTGCGTGCGATCAACTGGACTATATACATCTCTGAGGGCCAGCCCCAAGTCCTCCTCCACATGCAAGCCCTCGAGGCACCCAGAGTGTGTTTGAAATAGTTGATAGGAAGGGTTTTTGTTTTGGACATCTGCAATCCCTCCCCATTGACACGAAAGGTGCTGCCTCGGTGCTCATTGAAGCGATCCCACAAGGAGTGAAGCCGGGTGACACGGTCGCGAGGCAAGAACATTGCTGAGCGCCCGGTGGTTGGTTTAAAGAGCAGCTTGAAAGACTCAGAACCAAAGCACCAACACAGAGTAAAATTGTTTCTTTCCTGGGCCATCGAACTATTTGGGGAACTTCCGAGGTTCATCAGGTGACCTCACACGCACATTTCAGTCTCGTGGGTTATTCAGTACACTGTCATTCTAACCCAGCCAGATCTTTGGGGAGCTCCCCCAAAAAGACAGCTGTGTTTCTTCGAGGAAACCTGTGTTTCTTCGACGAGCCTTGCTTTCAGGAATCGCCCTGTTCGTTGCCCTACAAAGCTGGAATGAACCTTGCAACCAACCTCTGCAGCTCTGGCTGGCAGTTGTGGGAGGAGCCGTTGTGAAGCTACTAAGCTGGTGACAGCCAAGCCAACTCCCATGTGAGTGCCTCAGTGATTGCCTGATTTTAGGGAAATCACTCACAGGATGTGGGGTTGTGTGAAACTCATCTGACCCTCCCTCCATCCTCTTCAGCAAGACTCGATTGCGGGACCTTAACTGATTCGCTGTGGGAGTCTGCACGGCTGTACCCTGGCCTCCAACCTACTAGCGATTGTCTCCAAGTTCTGTGAGCTTCAAACTTTTGTCGTGTTCACAATTCAGTCCCATGCAGCATCGTTGGCGTGGCTGATGCGATCTTCGAGCCCCGGGTTCTCAGTTAAGATTTTCTCCAGGCTTAGCAAAGGAGATTCCTATTGTGGTTACTTCTACTCCATGTACTTGTTGGCTTTCATTTGTAGCAAGAAGCTACTAGGAACAAACGGCATCGCTACTAGGAGCAAGGACGCTACTAGTAGCTCCTGGCCTTACTAGGAGCAAGGAGCTACTAGTAAGGCCCTAAGCTTGAAGAGGAACCGCACCTCTTTTGGGTCAAGAAGTTGCCGTTGATTTTTGCGCCAGGAGTTAGTCTCTTGATCACCGTGCCGGCAGTGATAATTCTCTGTCCCTTGGTCCAGGGGTAGTAACTACTAGTAGTTTGGGACCTGCAAAAGTGCCAAACATGTGTACTTTGTCCATCATTCAACATTCATCCCTTCTGGAATCACACGGCTCATGTTTCTTGGATTTTGAATCCAGGGTATCCCAGGTTAGTACCCCTGGCTTGGCTGTGAGTACATCCCCTTTGTTTGTCGATTTGAGCCAGGGCTATCAGTGCACCATATTCGCGTCACCATTCTGCAAACGCCAACTTAAACATCTTGACCCTCCAGGCCCACAGAGTACTGTGGAACATCATAGGGCCCATGCTACCGGCAGTGGTGCACCTTGGTGGCTGAAAGAGCTTCCAAATATATCTGTGGTTCTGGCTGCTATTGTATTCGAAACCCTCACCTCTTTGGTCTATGGTTCAGTGGCATTCCAAGCAGCTCAGAATGATGCTTCGTACTCTAGCCCCCTAGTTTCTGACATAAATGCAATGGTGGGATGGTTTAACTTAGGACGTCTCCGATGACTTGAGACACCCCACAGCGGCAGCAGCAGCAGTAGCAGCAGTAGTACCTGCGCAACCCGATGAACCCCAACAGGGTGAGCAGACACGTGCTTTCTTCCTGCAAAGCTTCGGCATTTTGGATGATTGGATGATTCTGTGTTGGTGCTCAGCTCAGGTCGGGAACGCCGAAAGATCAACGAAACAGTTGGAAATGAAGAGTTGGTGTCGTACATGGTGCGGAAGCAGAGGGCCGAGCAGGATCACCAGCACTTCGACGCTCGGTTTTGGGTCGAAAGATTGCATGAAGCCTGGAAGCTGACCAAAATTCCTTGGGAAACCTGAGAAGCCAGCAATCTCATGAATGCCTAGAAGTGTGACGCCGTGCCCACATCGACTGTGCAACCCCTGCTGCAGGTGGGGGTTTTATGTCCTTATGATGTCCACTTTGGTCCAGACCGAGGAAGAGATCTCTGAATTTGAGGAAGAACTGCAGGAGACGATGGGATCAGAGTCAAGGCCCTCATGTGCTGATTCCCTGATGCGCTGTCTCCAGTGCCCACTGCTGGTGTGGCAGAGCCTCTTGGTGGATGGAGATGGGATCTACATCGCACAAATTCGACCATGGAAACTTGCAAGATCGATTGATGTTTGCAATTACTGTAGAATGCTTTTGCAAAGCAAGGGCACCGATTTGGCAGGGGGTTGAAGTTGAAGAGCCGGTGAACTGAATCTGCTGGATCGTGCGATTGGACCTTGTGTTGGACTTTGGTTGATAAAATTGTATAATCGAGGATGGGACACAACAGGTACGACAGAGCAGGCTGCAGTTGATTCTGCAATCAAGTCCAAAGAAAGATGAGACATCATTGATCACAGTGTTTCAATTGGTCTTCCCAAACAGAGTGGAGACAGCTCATGCAAGATGTCGGGTGAACCAGGCAAACCCATGAATCTGGAATCTAGATGCGGCGTACAACCCAGAAGCCCTGTGGTCACAGCAAACAAAGTAATGCCACCTCCTCTGGCTCTGTTCCCAAATGGAAGTCTAAGACAAAGTCAAGTCGAGCATCGAACTTCACCAAGCTACAAGTGCAAATATTGCTGGATGCCGCACGTGCGGGGCATGCACAGCGTTGCCATACGCACGTTGGTGTTTACAGATCTATGAAGTACAGTGCATCATATAGCCACATAAAAGTCACACGAAGGGCTCTTTGTACCTCCTTTCCGAGAACCCTTTGCCAACATGGAAGTCCTTTGGGTTTGTTCCCGCCTGATCTGTTCACCGGACTTCCAAATAGGTCTGGGGACTTAGCAGGACCGGACCTGGGGACTCATCGTGGTGGCTGGGTCACCACGTGGTGCATCGTGCTGAGTCTCGGGCATCGTTTAGTACTGCAAGAGCTCTCCGGAGGATGAGATCTGCCGGGAGAAGCTGCGACATTGGACCCTGGGAGCCTCGGGCGATGGGACGCGGACGGGGATGTGGGACGCCCCGGAATTTGGGGCGACGGGGGGCGAGGAGGATTGAAGGACAGAGGGGAGGAGGGGAGGAGCTTAGGCCATGGTTGAGTTGAGACTTAAAGCTGAATATATATGTGTTTTGGACAGCCTGGACAGCTTCATGAAGGAGAGGTGATGGTTCGTTTTTCGTTCAAGTGCTGACTGGGTCTATGTCAAAGCTACGTGTCCAAGCTGTTGGTTTGCAGCAGTGAGGACAGTGAGGATGCTAGAAGCATTGAAGTTGAAGTGAGTTCCACAACTCTTGAACACCATTTAAGATATGTGGGTATACAATCTACAACACTCTAGTCAGATACTTGGGTACAGGTATCCCTCCAAGGTGGGATTTGTATGCCTAGTACTTGACCCTCAATTGGAGAGGAATGTATAAAGGAGGCATTGAACAATTGACAGGACAGATTTGGACATGGCTCGCATTCTCTACTTTGGTGTAAACCTGCTATACTGTTGTGCTTTTGCCCCTAGAGTGATTTGAAGATCTACCTGACCTCCGGGCAGAGTCTACGTGTTCCAAAGTCAGGCATCCACAAGTAGGTCGGCCCTGAGGCATTTTGTTGCTAAAGTTTCTGATGCCTTGCGTGACCTGCTGCTGTGTGATCATTTGTGGCGTCGGCGCTGGCCTCACCCACTTGCCGGAGGTGGGATCGCGGACGCGAGGGCGGTGCTACCTGGATACACGTGTTTGTCCAAGGTCCTTCCTGGTCCTTCTGGAACAAATAGGCAGGTGTTGAATCATTTTGATAGCCGTCCAAGTGGTGTGGTAAGAAATCTATTGCAGGACTTTGAGTATTTCCAGCTTTTTTGGGCACCCTCCAAGATCAGGGGTGTATTGTGCATCCTGCAGATGTCTCAGACGCCCACTGCCACCGCCACCGAAGGGTTGGCAGCGGGTCTCAACGGACAGATTTTGCTGAAACCATGTCTGAGCATATGAGTCAAATACTTGTCAAACGCCCAGGTGCCTTGAGTTTTGCCTGTTTGTGTTTTGCTTCCTCAACCGAGCCATTTTCCTGAACCGAAACCCTCTGTGCTTGTGAGGCGGTGAGTGACGGGTCCAGCTCTGATGCTTGGGAAGAACCAGATCAACCGCGGAACACTGGGATGTTTGTTGCGGTAGGTCTCTCTGTTGCTGTGTGGTTCGAGAGAAGTGGACTTGTACTCCAAGGCAATTCAAAGTTGTTGCCACAACTACAACACGGGTTTGTTGCGGACCAAAGGGAACCGGTGGAACCTGGCTGGTGGTTTGAGGTTTGGAGTAGCTCTAGCGTGCAGTGTCCATCCTTATTTGGAAATGATTGTAAAGATCTCCTACCTGTCTACATCCCAATCCCAACATAATTACGAAGCTATGTCATCCAAGATCTTATGACAACCTGCGGGTGTGATGCTTTCCAGAAGGCCTGGTTGAGCACGAGCCCCTGAAGTGACTTCACTTATGTTCCTGAGGAATAAGCTTGCAAGCAGCCAGATGTGAAGGAGGAATTTATGGCGCATCCGATCAGTTGTCGGTTGTGACTGATTGGAAGATCGGACACCTTTGACATCATGTTATACTCATGCGTCATTTGCAGTCTGAGTCTAGTTGTCAGCTTCAGCATTTGAGTCTTGTCCAAGTGAATCATAGTTGCTGAGGTTGATACCGGCCCGTCACAAACAACTAAAACGTTGTGGCTTTGGATTGGTGCGGTGTGATGCTTCATTTTTTGCCTTTGAACTTCATGGATGGGTCTTGGAATATAGCAACTCAAATGAACAGCTGTTTCTCTTTGTTTTACTTCATTGTGATTCTCTGCTTCTCGTGAAAGGCCGCCACCCACTTTCAGGATTGTCTCCTTGGATGCACCCTGAATGTTTTTGGCAAAACATGGGGCTTTCCAGTTGTGATCTATTCCTCACCCAGTAAAACCAGTGCGTTAGGGGTGCCCCCAAGGTCGTTTTCTGTTGGAGGGTCATGCCCAGAATCCCAGAAGCTCACCAAGTTCTTAAAACCAATGCTCTGGTTTTAAGTCAACCAGGAGCACCAAGGGCAACAACAGTCTGGAGTCTAGTTTACAAGCCGGTACTTGTCATGGTTGTACAGGCATCGCTGCCAGGCGGACGCACCGGACGCCATGCCCGATGGACTCGATGCCTATGAGGCGCGGACGCGAGTGGGGACTGGTGGTGGAAGCGATAAAGTGGATAAAGCCGGTGTAAGAATCACGGAATTCACCAGTGAAACCTGACTCCCAGTAGAGGCAACGATTGAAACTCATCCTAGACTTGCAAAAGGTGATTGCCAACAGCGTCTTTGGCGTGTGCATGCCCTTCTAAGAGGATTTAGCATCTGAGAGGTGTGTAAGGATTTTGTTATCATTTGGCACAGCTGGCCACGGTCAGGCTGAAAGAGCAATCAGACTTATCATTCTCAACGGATTTGTGAAAGGGATATGTGAGCACTGAAAACCTTGGGCAAGCTTTTGGTGCCTCCGTTTTCAAGCTCGTGTTCATGAGGTGCACATTGTTTTGACCCACAGCCCTCAATGAAATCAAGGTTGCAGCTGCAGCCTATGCCTTGCAGCGGTGCAGATGCCTGCACCGCAGCGAGTTGTATGAGCCAATGATGGATACTGAAGGGTAAAAGAGAACTGTTGCGATGGCGTAGGTGGACTAGTTGGAAGGCGCTCCTGTTCGAAACGCCTTTGGCCTAAACAAGTAAATGGAGACCGCCCATGGTGACCGATAGCCCATGGTTCCCCTTTCTATCATTCCGTGATTGTTGCAAATGGGGGACTGCACACGCACACTGTATTAGATAATGCACACTTAGTATCATGGTTTGAACCCACGAAGTTCGATCCTACACACATTTTGTTGGGTCCTAGCCCTTGATGATTCGATCTCGCACTCCCACATTGCCGGGGCTCAGAGCTGGACTTGCTCTATCCGAAGCAAGAGATCCTCCAACTGCGCTGATGCATCAGCGCATGAGCAAGCAAATGTGGTTGAAAGGGGACGTCTCAAAGTGTCCTCAGCTAACAAAGGAACAAGCATTGATGCAGAAAACGCAGTGAGACTTCATGCGTTGTCTACGGCTTTTTGCACGTCACCCACCCCAGAAGAATACCAAGCCTCCGGGTCGGGGTGTTCCGAGGGATCTGTGGGTGCGTAAGGATGTGCCAAGTCGGGCTTCCCCGTTTCCGGGCCCATTGCCCCTGACAGTCCTGAGTCCTGACAGTCCTGACATGGGAATCAGATCCTTCAGCCACGGGCGCTGCTCACCCATGGCAGATTGCAGAGGGCCCGGGCCCTGGATCCGTGCAGGGTGCAGATTGTTGAGGAGAAAGCTCGCGAGCACTGGAGTTACAACGTGTTTTTGCAAATGAGCTTCGGGGATGTGACCTGAAGCTTATATATCTATGTCTATATATACCAGGGAATGCTTTAGATCAATAGCATATTGGGTTTCATTCTCTGTGTTTCTTTTTATATAATACCAGGGAGTTACTAAGAATTCTTTAAAGCTCAGTGTTTTCATGTTCGAGAGACGGCGGTCCCATGGGTCTCAGATGTCGGTTTGGTGGTTGATCTCTTGGAGCCGAACCTCGAAGCGCCTCAAACCGGAAAGCCGTTTGGCTTCTGCATTTCGACCACACCATCTCCAAACTCTTCCTGCTGATGGCGGGCAAAGCTCACCGCAAGGCTACTGGGCTGCACTGGGATCTCGCTCGCGTCATCGCCAAGCTCTTCCTGATAGTTGCCCCAGCGGCTGCACGCCTGGGAGAGGCCCCAGTGCCAGCGCCACCAGCGCTGCTGCCACTTGAGTCAGAGGAGTTGCTTCGGGGAGGGAGGGCCAGAACGGTGGAGTTCTGGCAGAATTGGAGCCGTTCGCTGAAATCTTTGGATGTGAGTTACAGCTCCGACCCCAGTTTGGCGGAGTTGCAGGTGGGCTGGGGAAAGAGAGTCTGGATATCAGGCCCACAAGCGTCCTATCGTCAACTGGTGCTGGTTTTGGAATCAAGCATTTTGGAAATCCTGCGCTCAACTTTTGCAGGCTTTCGCATGTTGAATGTCCTCCTGTTGGTTGCGTCGGGTTCTCCTCCTCCTGAACTCTCCTTATTGGTGCTCCTGTACTCTGGAATCCTTTTGTTTAAATTTGGGCATTCGCTTCTTTTTCATGGTTCTGGATTTTGGATACTTTGTTTTCAAGAACAAGGTGGCGTGAGTTGTTGTTACTTCATGGTACTCCTGTGGAGGTGCTGGTAAAAGACATGGGCTATGAGCACCTGGCCACTACCACCCGCTATGGCAACACCTGCTGTGCCTCCTGTGGCAATGTAGACACGGCCCGCCTGGTGAATGGCACTGGCTTTTATGCGGTGGCGGCGGCCCAGTCGATGTGGCCTGGTGTGAGGAGACTGCCAGGTTGGATAAATGGCATCTACCACAGGTGTGAGCTGTGGGTATGCAAGGCTTTGGTAGGCTTTAGTGTAGACTCAAGAAACAACTTGAAAAGGGAAACATGGCTCTTGTTGTGGATAAATTTGTTTGTATACAAGCTCACAAGACCTCAAGGACCCTGTGTTCATTGGTGTAGATGCTTAGTGTGAATAGGCAACTGATGGAAAGGTCTCCAGAAACTCTGTTGATGCCAGCTGGCTAGAATCACTCAGAAAGTTCCCGTGGAGAGTGGTGCTTCACCATCAAGCCCGCAAAAACGATCGTATCCTGCGAATTTCGGCCTTTATATTTGCCCCGTTCCATTCCACTCGCCCAACACCACGAGGGCCAAGATGTAGAGCTGCTGAACTGATTTCTTTTCCCAAGGGATGAGAAGTTTTTCGAGTAGAGTTGTCCTTTTGAGGCAGACGGGGGGCCGTGGCGATGGTCATTATTGCACTTCCTCCGCAACGAGCAGGAATGGCACAGTGGGCATGGGATGCTTGAGCTGTGCGAAAGGGAGGTTCTTGAAGGCGCAAATTATGATTTTCTGAAATTCTTGAAAGACGTGACTTGGGCTCTTCTCGGAACTCATCATCCCGGTTCAGCGACGAAGAATGATTGTGGTCGATGTTGATTGATCACAGAAGTGTTCCTCAGCCCTGAGGCACACCCCTTTCTGTATCCTCTCTGGGCGCAGCCTGAAGACCCAATCTTCAATGAGGACTGGCCAGGGCGGCCAGGGCGGCCAGGGCCAGTCGGTTGAGGGAAGAAGGGAAGGGAAAGATCGAAGGGCTGGAAGGGCTTAGGCCGACGGGCCTGATCCATGGTGATTGCTTGCCAAAGCCTCGATCGAAGCCTATCACTGGCCTTGTGGTCTGGTGGTTTGCAAGAAAGGCCCTTAAGGAGTGTACGTGTCAGCGCAGGAGTAGATGAGTAGTTACTGTAACTTTCTCCTCACTTTGTGAAAGCCAACCTCTTGACCTTTTTGCAGGTCGCTTGCAATATCCATGGTGGATTTGATTGTAGAGAGGTAGCGCGCAAAAATTGCAGGGTTCGGCCTTCCGATCGAGCTTCTTTGGTCCCCACAAGAAAATATGTATGAAGACACACGACATGCAAACAGACTCCAAACTTGATTCCTTCTAACCATGACAATAACCATGCATTTGCCCATGACATTGTGTAAGTCAGTGGAAATTAAGCTCACAAATTTAGCAATTCATAGTGCAAGATGCAACATTGTCACATGTGAGCTCATTAGCAGCATTGTCTTGTAGGAAGTGCATTCACCTCTGCTGAAAGAGCCTTTCAGAAAACAGAAGAGCGAAACGCAACAAGAAGACAAGACTGCTCCACGGCTCTTCGCGGGCCCCATGGATCCAAACCCAAAGTGTGAGTTCAGACGCTTCTGAAAGAGCGGATGTCTATGGGTGTTTTCACTTTCAAGTTGCCAAAGACAAGACAGCTGGCCCACATAACGCAGGTAAATCTTTGTAATGTTTTATATTTTTTTGTTATAATTTTTTACCGACCAATATCACGCGCTGCCGGTCGTCCTTGGATATACCGCAAGTCTTTTTTCATTGTTATTTGGTGTCCTCTGCCATGAGGCCAATGCCACTACTCATACTGTTTGGAGTATTTGGCCAATCAAAACATGGTTTCAGAGCAGATGGCACCAGCTTGGGGCGCCACAGATGGGATCCCCGGCCCATCAGAGACTGAAACAGCGCGAGGCAATTATGCCACTAAGTGGCTGAAGTCTTGCTTTATGAAACAACTGGGTTCCAAGGGTTCAGCAGCTTTTGATTCCTGCTCTAATCTATCATCCTGGACGATTGTGCTAAAGGCATCCTCTTAAATATCTTCATCCTCACAGCTTCTTGCGCCTGTTCTGCAGGAGTACCGCTTGGTGGTGGCTGATACCTGCCCCCACCGGGGCAACGAGGCGTGGTGCCCAGGCGCGGATGGCCGTGCGAACCACTTCGGCGTGAAGGACCACTTCGACTTTGCGGCGCCACCGCCCAAGTTCGACGCTGGAACTCGACTGGTGGGTGGAGGGTGCCTTAACCCATTTTTGGGACCTGGGAACCATGCCAGGTCACCATGGGAGTGAGGGATTTGGTAGTATGATATAATCATATTGTGAGTTGAGCGCCGCCCAACTTGAGTTTCATGGTTGGCATGAGCTTTTGGCATGTCGCCGCTCACGCCCGCCTTTCTGACCCAAACCGGCCACAGGGGCCTCTTGAGCCACTTAGGTGGCCACGCTCTCGTGAAAAGAGATTTTGCTTCGTGTTCCGTATCGACACCTCGAGCGGTCGCATACGCAAGGTGTGGTCACTTCCGTGTTTCCACATCTTCACATTGGTAGCGGAGCCTCCCAAAGAGGAGGCTCCCGCGGTGCGCCATGTCGGGCACTGGTTCGCCGACGCGGAGGGGAACCCCATCTTCCGCTGCAGCTGGTGCATCGGCGAACGGCGCCGGCGGTGGGCCCAGGGACCTCAAGGACAACTATGTGCCGCGCTTCGAGAATTCGACCACCACCTACAAAGAATGGCGGCGCAGAGTACTGTTGTACTCGAGGAAGCTGGAGCTTCAAGGACGCAAGTCCGAGGTAGCCCTCAACGTCCTAGCTGCTCTTGAAGGACCAAGCTGGACGCAGTGTGAGGACCTCGACCTCAAGGAGCTCGAATCCGAGAATGGCCTGGACATCCTGCTCAAGAGATTGGACAGGCAATGGGCATTCGACGATAAGGTGGAGATGCCCAACAGCTTCGATGCCTTCTTCTTCAAGCTCAAAAGGCGTCAACACCAAACCCTACTGGACTACACGACCGAGTTCCACCAGGTGTTGCGCCAGATCACCAAGCGCAAGCTGGACCTTCCCGAAGAGGTCACAGGCTGGATGATGCTCAAAAGAGCTGGACTCACAAGAGAACAGGAGCAGATGGTTCAGACTCAGGTTGGGTCAACATTGACCCTTGGTGCGGTGGAACAATCCCTGTTCCTCCTCTTCGGTCAGGACTACCAGCAGGTCCACATCCCTCATCATCTCCGCCGACAACAGCAGCTCTCTCGCTGGAAGAGACCTCAGTCCGTCCACATGGCCTGGGACGAGGACGTTGCTGACGAGCTCTATGACATTGAAGAGTCCTACTTCCAGGACGCGGATGATGACCCTGACTACCAGGAGACAGAAGAATGGTTTGAGCCCGAGATCCCAGAGGGAACCTACTATGAAGAGACCGCTGAGGATCCTGAGCACTTCTTCGACACCGATGAGTTCGACGAGATCTACTCCACCTACGTGGACTCCAAACAGCGGCTCAACCAGTTGAGACAAAGCAGAGGATTCTACCCTGTTGTCGCCGTTGTTGATGGCAAGGGCCAAGCACCAGTCATGGCTCAGAACTCCAAAGGACCCTCCAAGGGCGGCAAATCCAAGAACAAGTCCAAGGGCAAGGGCACTTCATCCAAGGGCTTCTCAAAAGGCCCAACTGGGAAGAATCGAGCCAAAGCAGCACTGACATGCCTACGCTGCGGAAAGCAAGGGCACTTCGCAGCAAACTGTCCTTCAGCTGGCCGATCCTCTTCGCCAGCAAAGAAGCGGCCGGTTGATCTCGAGGACCCGATGATCCACATGGTCATGGCCGTTGAACCTGACCTCAACACCTTCGACGATGGCGAGATCACGGCTGAGGAAGACATCTTCTACGACGTGGAGGACGCCTATGCTGAAGGCGAGGCCTTAGTCAGAGCTGGCGGCTGGCTGACTGCTGAGCCGGACACCTGCATCCAAGATCAGGGAGCAAGTTCCTTTCTGATCGGCACTGAGTATGCCTTGCGCTACTTCAAATGGCTCGAGATGATCGGCTATCCCATGAACAGCCTGATCTTCAAACGCTGCGACAAGTCCTTCAAGTTCGGAGGAGACGCCTCCGGGCATGCGAGATGGATGGTGGAACTTCCAGTCCACATCGCGGGACACTCCGGTCGCATCCAAGCCTACATCATCTACGGTGCCACTCCTATGCTCTTTGGACGACCACTTCTAGAGGCACTTCAAGCCGAAGTCAACTTCGGAGCTTCAAAGATGCGACTACTTCATCAAGAATGGCATGACATTCCTCGCGGTCGACAAGGTGCAATGCTCCTTCGCCTGGCGGCGAATGTGAGCGACCCACAAGCCTTCGAGTCACCTGTCTTCGACTTCCGCTGCGAAGATGACCATTCAGAGAAGGCCAACCTGAACGAGTTCCTGGACGACTTGAACGCCCATGAACGATACTTTGAGATGACCACCGAGGTCAAGACCTACTTCGCCTCCGAGCCCAACCTCATCCCTGAGGAGACCTTCATGGAAGCAGATGATCACGATGATCGAGCCCCGCTTCTGCCTGGAGAGACCGTCAAGACCCTCGAGCAGCTTCAAAAGACCATGTCATGGATCGAAGCCCAACTCCAGGAGACCGAGAAGCACGTCCAACAAGAGATCCTCCATGCTCGTGATCGAGGTCAGCATCGACGAAGAAAGCTGATCTGGGAGGTCTATGTTGGCGAGGGCAAGATCACGAGTCTCCTGCAGGCCCATGGTGATGTGGAGGTGATGAGATTTGGCCTCCGTGACGGCTGGGATTTCAGCCGAGCAAACCACAGAAAACAACTGCTGCGGTTGTGTGATGACCTTGAGCCAGACGAGATCTACATGTCCCCGAAGTGCACGCTCTGGTCACGTATGCAGCAGATCAACGTCACCAATGAGCAGCAAGCGGCTGATCTTGCAGAACGCCGAGAGGTTGATGCCGAGACCCACCTCACCATGTGCAAGAAGCTCTACCTCAAGCAAGTTCGCCGCGGCTCTCATGCTCACATTGAGCATCCACGCCTTAGCCTGGCCTGGGAGACCAAACAGCTGAGAAGCTTGCCTGGCCACAAGGCAATCTTCGATCAGTGTGCCTATGGTGCAACTACCCTCAATGACGATGGCTATGAGATGCCCATCCTCAAGACCACCCGCATCCAGACCACAAAATGGGCTATGTTTGAGATCATGTCCAAGCGGTGCAACGGACAGCATGTTCATCAGCGCCTTGAAGGACGCAATCGATGCAAACGAGCTGAGAACTATCAGGAGGAGATGGCTGCACATCTGGCCCGAGCACTACTTCTTGATGAAGAACTTCATGAACAGGTCTATGCAGTGACCGAAGCAACCGCTCCCCTCACGGGTGCTCTCAGAAAGCTGGCCATCGCCCACGGTGCAGAAGCAGCTCGCATTGCACAGCGCCTTCATCGGAACCTTGGACACCCTCGCAAAGACGTCCTGCTTAACACCCTGAAAAGCAGGAACTGCAGTCCACAGGTCCTGGCAGCGGTCCAAGATCTTGAATGCCCCTTCTGTGAGGCACATGCAGTCAAGAAGGGAACTGCACCTGGACATCTTGATCGCCCCACTGAGTTCAACGCCCAACTTCAAGCTGACGTTCTCTGGCTCGACCTCGACGAAGTTGGAGCTGTTCGAGAGCCTGGAAAGCGACAGAAAGCTCGCAAGATCGCCATCCTGGTCATGGTTGACGTTGCAACCAGATATATGGCGGCTCGCACCATCATGGATGAGAAAGGACCCACACTCCAGAAAGCCCTAGAACGTGCCTGGGTTCAACATCATGGACCACCACGACAACTCTATGTGGATGAGGGCACTGGCTGGGCGTCAGATGCCACCATGCAGTGGTGCGAGAACAACGACATCGAGATCCGCATTTCTCCTGGACAGGCGCACACTCGCACCTCCATCGTTGAGAGAAGACACCAGATCGTGCGCAAAGCTGTTTCGATCTTCATGATGGAGAATGACCTCACCGGACTCGATGGAGTGCACACGGCATTGTCCTGGGTCATACCCGCTTTGAACAGCAGCACCTTCGTCAACGGCTACACGCCTACTCAGCTCGCTCTTGGCCGTGAACCTGCACTTCCCGGACGTCTCTCAGACGAGCGAACAAGCCCGCTTCAGCTTCAGCTGACTGAGCAGGAGAAACTCCACAAACGACTCCAAATGAAGTTCGCTGCACAGAGTGCTTGTGGCAAAGCCGAGATTGACGTCAAGCTGAGAAGAGCCTTGTTGCGACGCTTCACAGGAAAAGATGAAGAACTCCTTCCTGGCGAACGCTGCTACTACTGGCGGGACTTCCCGGACAAAGCCCACACGATTCGCTGGCGCGGACCAGCAGTTGTTGTAGCTGTTGAGCGCAACCCAGATACCGGGACCATCGCTGTGTACTGGATTGCACATGGAACGGTGCTCCTTCGTGCTGGAGTTCAACACGTTCGGAAGATGGTCAGCGACAGTGGACAACTTGGTGCAGCTCAACGAGCCCAACAAGCTCTGGAGAATCTGAGGCAGAGAAGGGCAGTCAGAATTATCGACTTGCGCAAAGCCAACAAGCGCTCAATCGATGAGGTGGACCCCGAACTGTCCGACTACGCTCCTTCCATTGCTGAAGAACCACCTGCCCCAGTGACTATGTCCTCATCTGGACTACCTGAAGGAGTGCAACGAGCATTCGATCGCTCTATGCAAGAAGCAATTCAGTCACGGGCAGCGGAAAGACCGTCGGTTCTACCTGCTCCAGACCCTCCTGAAGATCCCTCAACAGAACCATTGGAGCCACAGCCGGAAGAGCGGCAGCCTTATGAAAGACATCCTGAACTACCAGAACTAGATGATGATGACTTTGAAGAGCCAATGGGTGAACCGGCGCACATGGAAACACCACGTGTTGATGCCGAGCCTCCGACGAGTCTTCCAGATCCAGCTGATCTACCCGTTCCTGAGGACCATGATCTGGATTCTCCAAAGGCTGAACCTCCTTCAAGGCCTGAAGTGGAAACTTCCTCATCGTCAATGCCCGCACCAATGGCAGTTGATCCTCTGTATGCACCACCACCATCTGAAAGTTTCCAAGATCGTCGTCGACGGTTCGATCAACAGGAGACCATATGGACTCGTAAGAAAGCCAGAACCGCCGAGAGTGACATCGACATCAGTCTTCATGGCTATGACATGGCAAGGTCAACACCTCTCCCATCTGGCTGGACCTATGATGAAAAGAACAATGAGTTCATCTTGGGTGAAACACAAGACTGGTGGAGCTATGAGGACGGCTTCCTCGTGCGCAACCATGTTTGGGGAAGAAACACCACCTACAAGCCTGAAGAGTTCCCCATTGATGCCTCCTTTCTGCAAACAACCACCGGCCTGACACTGCAACAAGGTTCAAGGACCATCTATGTTAACGCCAAGGAGCAGCAGCACTTCCACGAGCACTGGACCGGCAAGACCTTGTATCCATTGACCCCAGAAGGTGCAGAGAAGACCGGACTCCTCTACATCGGAGACCTCACGGACAAGCTTGCCCGCTGCAAAACGCTCAGAGGCCGTGGACATATTTGGCAGGCCGTTGGAGCCGGCAGTCCCAAGAAGAAGCACGTCAAAGAGAGCGCTGATCTCAATGAGCGCAAGATGACCCTAGAGGATCGCCTCTCCTTTCTCGAAGGCAAGAAGGCAGAGCTCATGAGCATCTTCGAGAATGGCGTCTGGGAGATCGAGCTCGATCCGCAAGCAGTGGATCACAACCGGGTCATGCGCGCCCGCTTCGTGCTGAAATGGGCTGCTGATGGAAAGGGTGGCCTCAAGGCCAAAGCACGACTAGTACTTCAAGGATTCTCCGATCCCGACCTACTTCAGGGACAACTTGACACCTCCTCACCGACTTTGTCAAGAAGTTCACGACAGGTGCTCATCGCTCTCTCAGAGGTGCTCTCCTGGGAACGTTGGACTGCGGACGTGGCGACCGCCTTCCTCCAGGGAGATCCACAGGAGCGAGTTCTATGGGCACGCATCCCAAAAGATGCATGTGAACTCATTGGAGTACCGCCAGGTACGCTTATGAGGTTGATCAAACCCCTGTATGGTCAAGCTGATGCCCCAAGGCAATGGTTTGCTGTGGCCCGACGTCGACTACTTCAACTTGGGTTCCAAGCTCATCCACTGGACCAATGCCTCTACATGTTCTTCGATGAGAACAAGGTCCTGACAGCTTTGGTTGGAATCCACGTCGACGATCTTTTTGGTTGCGGCCTGGCTACATCATCCACCTACCAGGAGCTGACCAAGCAGCTCAAAGCCTCTTTCAACTTCAAGCATTGGACGGTGGAGGGTGAACGCCCACTTGAGTTCTGCGGATGTCAACTCACCCGCACGGCCACTGAGTCTGTGATGACGCAGGTTGACTACCTCAAGACCATCAAGCCCATGACCTGCGCGGACAACGAGGCCGACAGAGAGCTGAGTTCCAAGGAACAGAGTTCACTAAGGGCACTACTTGGTGCACTTCAATGGCCGGCAACCCAAACATCACCCCACCTGTGCGCTTCAGTGTCGCTCTTGTGTGGAGAAGTCACCACCTCGACGGTCAATGTGGCCCAGCAGGCAAACAAAACCCTACGTTTCGCCAAGAACAACAGTGACGCTGGCTTGGTGTTCCGTCCACTGGGTGGCTCGCTGGACGACCTATGTATGGTGGCCATGAGCGATGCAGCATGGGGGGTGAGACACAACAATGAAAGCCAAGGCGGCTACCTGGTACTTCTATGTCACAAGTCAGTGCTTGAGGACAACACCCTCGACCACGACTACGTCATCCTGGACTGGAGGAGTTTCAAGCTTCCACGGATCAGCCGATCCTCCTTGAACGCTGAGAGCCAAGCATGCTCAGCTGCCATGGACGCCCTGGAGTACCTCCTCATCTTCTGGGAAGGATGCCTCAACCACGACTTCCAGCTGCGTCAGGTCAGCGAGCTCAAGCCTTCACTACCTTCGGCACTGGTGGTGGACGCTAAGGCCCTCTACGACAGCCTCAAGGCGGAAACCCCAAGCCTCCAAGGAGACAAAAGAACAAAGATAGAGGTCATGGTGACCAAGCAGAAAATGCTGTGCATGAGCACTAAGCTCAGATGGGTCAGCTCAGAGATCCAACTGGCTGACGGGGTTACCAAAACCTCGGCGCGGCAGCTGTTCGCAGACCGACTGCGAAGTCACAAGATCTCCCTCAAGTCCGACATGACCTTCCAGGCAGCAAAGAAGAAGACCCTAGCTGAGAGACAGGCAAACGCTCGCAAATATGCGATCAGCAGGACAGGCAATCACAACAGCCTGGCCTATCTCATCCTGACCTCGCAGATGGCAATGGTTCAGGCCTACCAGCCTTCTTTCGAGATGGCCCTGGACTTTGTCTTCTCGCCCGAGATGACCCTCACCCTGCTCATCATCCTGATGACCTATGTGGGATGGAATTTGGGCAGGAAATGGTCTACAAGGACCTCAACGGCCACGAGAACCTGCACGGAGACATGGACTATGACAACTTCGAGCTCTTCGACAAGGGACTCTGGAACACAGGTCGAGACCTTTGAGGAAAAGAATGTGTTCGGCCTCCTTCGAGCTGAAGTTGATCGACTCCGGCAAGACCTCAGAGACTCCGACTCCTACAACGCCGAGCTCAAGGACAAGTGCGAGGAGCTGGAGAATGAAAATGATGAATTGGAGAGACAGGTTGACGACCTGGTGACCAAGGACATGAGAATGAAATGGCAAAGGGCTGTCCAGACCCTGATGAATATGCAGCATCGGTTGCAAACAAGTCCGCTGGCCCAAGTGGTGTGGCACACACGGTACGGCAACAAGTACCACCTGGATCCTGAATGTCAAGGGCTAGCAAATGCCGACAAGAGCAACCTGAAGACGCTGGACTACTGCAGCTTTTGCGCTTCTCGCGAAAGCGAATGGTGGCGGCAGTTCACTGATGTGGACAGGAGAGAATCTCTCGCCGACTTTCACCAACAACCACCGGTGTGAGTTGAGCGCCGCCCAACTTGAGTTTCATGGTTGGCATGAGCTTTTGGCATGTCGCCGCTCACGCCCGCCTTTCTGACCCAAACCGGCCACAGGGGCCTCTTGAGCCACTTAGGTGGCCACGCTCTCGTGAAAAGAGATTTTGCTTCGTGTTCCGTATCGACACCTCGAGCGGTCGCATACGCAAGGTGTGGTCACTTCCGTGTTTCCACATCTTCACACATATATATATATAATCCATGTTGAACTCCTTTTCTAGGGTTTTTAATGTTTTTGAATGGCTCGTGGCATTGGTTGATGTTTGGGGCCTATGAGTCCTTTGTAGGGTTGCCGGGGCTCCACGAGCCATAGCCATTTGGCCCTTGAAAGAAGGAGAATGGAGTCTTTTTCACACAACATGATGCTACAGACAGCAGAAGAATCACAAGGTCTGGTATAGTGCTTTCTCTTGACCAGTCAAACGCTCTTTGGACCCTCCCTAGTTTCAGATACACTCCTTCCAGGGTCTGATGGCCATGATTAAATAGGTTTAGGTGGAGACGAACAAGTGCTCAGTGCTCGAGACGCACTTCTTCCAGTTGTAGAAGCCAACCTCGGGCTTTGGCCCACCTGACCTGGTAGACGAGAGCAATGGCAAGCGACAACAGCAATGCCACAATTGCAACACGATTGGCGAGTGAGCACGCAACCAAGAGAACAAACACATCTAGTAAGTGCCAAACTTGAAATACCAAGGACAACTACTACTTCGTGTGGTCCAAGATGGAGTGTCCTGAAAACCTGAAGACCCGTTATGCCCAACAGAGCCGGTGCTAGGGCAGTCGGCCGTTGGCGAAGGGGTACCGTTTTGAAAAGCCGGAAGTGGGATCGGTACACGCGAGGATGGGGCTTGATCTTCTACGGTAATGCAAGCAAGATCTGCAATCTATGGAAAAGATATGTGGAAATGGCATACTCGGTTCCAAAGATTTTGGAGCTCCTCTCAGTGCAGCGTTCTCCAGGCATTCGCGGCTTACAACATAAGCCTTGATACTTCACTTGGATTCTGCTGAAAAAGGACCAACCATGGTTGATCATGAACAATTTCCTCAAAGAATAAATTTGTTGCATAGGCTTTTTGCAGATCCAAGTGTCAATCTTCATTTTGGAGGCTGGCATTTCTGACCCGGCACGGGTGTACTTGCCTGCTTGTTTAGGTTGATCCTTGCATGGCATGCTCGAGCTGTGGTGATGCTCACGGATAAACAACATTTCACGTCCTTTCGGGCCCCCCATATTTGTATGGGCAGGCTCACACGAAATGCAGATTTTGTGTTGTGACATTCCACAAATACGTGTACTCGGATCGTTTTCTTCCAAGCTTTCAAGGGTTTCCCTTTTTGTGGCGGTATATCCACGGGTAAACTCTATTCCACAGCCTGGGATTCACCAATCCTTTGGATCGGTTCTTGCTTTGCGGCGGGATGAACTTCTTCATCCACTAGCACAGCCGATCCAGGTGCTGGGTGCCAAAGATAAATTTCCTCCCCTCCCACCCCCCACATGTGAGTGAACATAAACATGTTGGTGTAGAACCATGAAAGCACAGTCAACAAAAAAGACTGAACGCCTCCCAGGGGCCCGTATGGCCGTGACACCATAAAAAAGGGAATGGGCACTCACAGACAAGTTTGGCTCTCACATGTTCTCTATATGGCTTCGTGTGTTGGCCATTTATGGCCACAAGTACTACAAGTAAAGGATAGTAGAGGTAGGATTTCCATAAGTGGATGTCGACCTCCAGTGTCCACCTCTGGGACATGTTCATCTTGCACAGCGTTTCAAGTCTTTTAGGGACCATGAATCCTTGATCCGTGCTCAGGCTCCAGAGCGGCCAAGGGACCAGGAAAACCAGAGTGCAGAGATTCCACGCAAGCCTCGGACAGGTTTTGGAGTCAACCACCACAGGTCGTCGTGCAACACAAATCTCGACTTTCTAGTCCTTACCACAGGTCAGTATGCGTCCTGCAAGGGCAAAAACGATCAGATTCGTTCAAGTGGTTCTTGTATTACTGGCATTCCCTGTGGCGAGTCTTGAATGAACTTTTGCCTGGAGCTCACGGGACTCGCTTCCTTTGACTCTGATTCTTTTGATATTTTTCAACATGAAACTGCTGAAGAGCACATTTGTGCACGAGAAACATTGTAGCTGGACTGTGGGCTGCCGGGATTCGCGTTCAACCATCACACTGACGTCCCAGCAACACCAGTGGAAAGACACATTATATACATGGTGTTGCAGGCCCGGTACTGACCGTGCCAACATGGAGGATTCCACTTTTTCTATCACCTCCCCTTCTTGTTAAGGAATGAAGCCATCCAAAATATCCAAAAACCATGCGGAGTTGAATCTTTTGGTATGTGTTTGCTGCTTCAAACCCTCATTTTGGGTTCCTGCCGTGCATGTCGCCATCTCCTTGCTTGGTTCAGCTGCACCATCGAGTTCGTGTCGGGCGCAAGCCCTCAGGTCACAAAGTGGATCTGTGTGATTTGAGGCACCTTTCACTGTCCGACTGTTTCTGATCATGTATTCTGTGAGGACAAGATTTGCCAAGCTCCTTCTGTCAGACTCTGATTGATGGGGTTGGTCTCTTGAATGCTCATAAAATCCACGTGGGGAGGACAACAGGGAGAATAGAGAATCCCCCCTCACGAGATCCTTTCTCTTCCTTTCTCTGGACGCTTTAGTTTCCTTGCAGACTCAACTCGGCTGAACAAAACGCCTCCGCCTCGCCCGCGCCCGCGCGGCTACCATGGACTCATCATGGCGAAAGGGTGCTTGCGTGGCTGGGTGGTCAACAAGGCTTTTGGCCCGGCGATGGGGCCGGACGCGGGCGGGTCTTGAGTCAGTTTCAGAGGCCTGGGCTGGCTGGGAGTCAGGACAATTTTACTTGTGCACAAAGAAACAACCAGTGCCTGACTTTTCCAGCACAGAAAACAGATAGAACCGGATTTGCTTAGGCATGCAGGACCATCGCAGGCCGTTCGGGTATACGAGTGACCTGCATGTGTTTGGTCATGCTTTCCATTTACGCAAAAGTTTCGGGTGTATCCTCTTTTTGATCCACAGCCATTTATATATCAACTTTTGTATATATAATTACGAAAGCCAGCGGATAGGCTAAGCTGAAGCTGAAGTGCGTGATGGGCGAACGAAGTGAGTATTAGAGGGTGTGGGGGGAGGGGGTCCACTAGTGATGCGAGTGATGCCAAAAAGGTCCAATAGTGCATTTTTTCATCACCAAGCAGGATGTCCAGTTGTGTGTATGGAAGTAGGTGCGTGTCTTTAAGACGTCGAAAGAAGATATTGTCTCAGCTGTAGCGACAAACCTGCAAGCAGGCGTTTCAGCGCTATAAAGACCTCAGCTCAGAAGGAAATGTGTATCGGCAAAGGACTGTTTTCTGTACAGGAAATTCGTCGAAAAGCCGAGTGGAATCAGCTGTAAAGACAAGCAGACATGCTCCGTTCTAGAAGCGGTGAACGTGCAGAACACCATCTAAGCGGTCCAAAAGAGGGTGAGCCGAAACGCACCGTGACCAACGGACTCAACGAAAAGGTCATGTGTGGCGGTGCCCTTTTTTAACGGCTTGGAGATTAAGGTCAGAAATTTAACCACTCGGATAGTGCAAGACACAAATCTAAGAGTTAGCAACATAGTCCTGTGGGAAGTGCATTCAACTCTACTGAAAGGCCTCTCAAAAAACAGAGGAACGAACCGCAACAAGAAGGGTCTGCGTTTTGTCGCCTGGTCGCCACGCCTGTCTCCGTGGCTCTTATGGAGGCTGTGCTGTATGGCTCCCGGCTGTGCCGTGTCTTGTCGCCTGCTCGCCGTGCCTGTCTCCGTGGCTCTCAGTGGCTGTGCTGTAGCTGCCGGTCCGTGTCTTGTCGCCTGCTCGCCGCGCCTGTCTCCGTCTGTTAGAGGTCTCCCTGGCTCTTAGAGGCTGTGCCGTGGCTCCTGGTCCGTGTCTTGTTGCCTTGTAGTACTACCCTTGGACACGACAAGCGGACACTACAAGCTCGAACCACGCAGCGGCCAGACACCTTCTCCACCCACAGTCAGGACCTGGAAGGATTCATGCAACGCACTGGAACTCCTGTGAAGCTTGAATTCTTTCCATGACGACTCGTGGAACTTCCGCGGAACTTCCTGCAGGTGGACACTCTTCTTTGGCTTTGTTTTACCACGTCCTTTTTGCAACGGACGCTGCGTTCAACCAGGGTTACCATGCACGCGTGAAGCTTGAACATGCCAACCCCTCCTTGCTTTCCACGCTGCTGCGCTAGGTTTCGGAACCTCTTGCAGCGCAACTTGAGACCCTATGAGGGCATGACCACCCTCAGGTGTTCGCTTGCTGCCTGTATGCCTCATCGTACAACCGACTTGTCTTATTTACAACATGTTCACAACATGATAGGCGCGTGACACAGCTAGCTCAGCAGACCACCTTCTTCTGGCGTCTGCCATGTGAGGCTGTTTTGCAGCAACCCTCCTTACGTGTTTCAATCTTCACTGCGTATGTTCTCTTCCGCCAGGTGGGTGGCGGGCTGCGCGCACCCTCCGGAAGATCCACGGCAAGTTTCTGGTTGCTGGCGTTTTCTTCCAGATCTAGCCGCTTCTTCCTTGTAACAGCCTCAACAAAGAAAGCTATGTGTGGTGGTGCCCTTGTTTCATTCTTTTACATGTTTTGGGAAGCAAAAAGGGCACCACCACAGGACCGTATTCTTGAGGGTCTAATCGCGTCTCTTCAACCAGCTCTATGCTGAAAAGCCCGTGTGGTTGGTTTCTCAATGAAGCAATATCGCTGGCTTCAGTGAACGATGTAGATATGTCATGGCCCCCTTTGGTCTCAAGCTTCCACGCGCAAGGCAATATGCGGCGGCGCCTTTTGGGGCAAAAAAGGGCACCAGCAACGAATCGCGCGGGAGCTGGCTGCATCCCCCCAATCAGCTGTAAAGAAAATACGTCGAAAGACTCTGCTTGCTAAGCTCTCAGGACAATGTACCTTTGCAAGCCTATTGCCTTGAGGCGCCTTCACTCAAGTCCGCGCAGCGTGGCAGGCAGTCTGTGAACAAGCGCGTGTGGTGTAGAAGCAATGGGACTACGCGTGTAACACTATCAACCACTGAAAAACCTGGGCAGCTATGCGCTGTTGAATCGCTTGCGCGCTGCAAGCTTTCCACGCGCCTGTTGGAACTCATCCGACAGGTCTGATTCGGGGGACGCGGCTAGCTCCCGCAGCAAAAGGGTTCTTTGCTGGCACCTTTTTCTTCCCAAAAGCTTCGAAGAGACGATGAAAAGGGCACCGCCACATATGGCCTTTTTTCGTGGAACGGTGCGTGTCTGCGCAACATTTTTCTCAAGATGGTGTTGTACACGTACCTTCACTGCTTCTAAAAACAAAACGCGCTTGCTTGCGGAATGTTGTGGACTTTACAGCGGCGCGTATTTTTCTGAGGGGAAAGACGAGAACAGGGGCATCACCACAGAGCGCGTTGTGGCTGACAAGATGGGTGCCAGAGGGTGGGCTAGCTTCGTACGGCGAAATGATCCAAAACTTCAAATGGCAAGAACTTGTGTCAAGAGTGCCCTTTGTAATTTTCATTACCTGAAGCTCCTGATAGGCTTTGACAACCCCCGGTTCAATCAGAGCCTAGCACACTTTTTCTTAGCAGGCGGGCTTGCTTAGTCACTTTAGATAGTAATACCATCACGCACTCCTAGGTTCGCAAACGTCGGCAGCGGCTTCCTCCTCCACGCACTCAAAAAGGGCTGCGGTTTGTGGCTTTCGTCCTCTCCCTTCTCAAGTTTCTGTGTATATCATTTATTGAGAGAGATATATATATATGTATTTTTTTCCGCAGCGGTATAAGCCTTTGCGAGGCGTCGCGCCTGTACGAAACTCGAATGGACCAGATCAGCATTGACGCTATTCTGAAACATGCCTTGGGACTTGTGGGTTGACCGGTCCCTCTTTGGTCCACAGCCCCCCGAAAGCACCTCTTCTGGATTCGGAGACTGGGTCCG